TGTATACCCACGTACCAACGTATATAATATGTAATTTGGATACAGATGATAAACCAGGGTCACATTGGGTAGCTTTATATATCGATACGAATGACGTCGGTCAATATTTTGATTCATATGGACGATCACCTGTACGATATCATCTAGAGTTTTTAAAAAGGAATTGTAAAAGATGGAACTGGAATGTTGATAGGATTCAGAATGAGTGGACTTCAGTTTGTGGCGAATATTGCTTAATGTATTTACTATATAAGTTTCAAGGATGTTCAATACATAGTTTTACGAGTATATTTACAAGGAACACATTGTACAACGATATTTTAGTGGATGAGATGTTTCGCTCCTATTTTATAGATAATAATTAATAAGATTTTGTATTTTATAAATAAAAATTGTAACAAAATTATGTAATGTGTTTTATTGATGATTCAGATTAGCGTTGTATAAACAAAGAATTATAATAAACAATAGCACTGATATAGTCGACGCACACGCTGCAATGAAGGTGATTAAGGAACAATAGAACAATAGAAATAGGAACAACAATGGGACGCTAATGACGGTGGAGGCCCTTACCGGATATCAATTAGATATTAGCTAATTGATCTACACATCTCCGGAACCGTGCATTCTACACAAAAATGGACCGCGGATTCGTGATCAGAGCATGCCAAAACCTTTTTTTTTTTTTTTTTTTTTAGGATCGGGCGTCGACGAACGTCGTTGAACCACGTCTGACTCAGGTGGTCTAGAAGTGGTACAACTACACTACTTTCTGGTACTACTCTAGGAAATATTAAGATGTTTGTGTTCAGCTCTAAACTTTACTTATAGAATGAAGTAGATGGCGATATTAAAAAAAATGAACATGGGAAGTAATTTGAAGATCAATAAGGCAGTGCAGCGTTTATTTAATAAAATTACATAAATTATAGATAATTATCTAATTAACAAACTAAACCGATAATTTATCTTCTTAAGATCGAAGAAGATGATGCACTGTGATACATATGTATATAATTTTATGTAAATAAATGAATGATATAGTACACGATCTATGCTTTTTAAAAGTCATTGATGAATAATTGAAATGTTACCCTGTAATACAAAAGTTTTACTTCTATCGTGTATCTTTAAGATGCACAGTTTTATTTATTGTACAGGGCGATGAACACTTACTGAAAGTATTCTGTGAATAACATTTTGGGGAATACGTATGAACTGATTTTTAAAGCAACCTATTACGGGACGGGGGGGGGGGGGGTCAGAGGGTGTTAAAATTTATACAAAGAAAAATTAATTAATGGTTTTCTTATTTAAAAAAATGATGCATATACTCTGGAAGAACCTACCCTTAGGGTTTTAAAACAAGGGACAGACGCACAGCTTAAAAGATTAAAATTAAAAATCTGGAAGCTGGACAGTAGCTGCCTTTTATGACGTAGGATTCTACTTATAAAGAGTTTTTAAAACTTCAACCCTTAACCCAGATGTGCCTACTGTCCTATTTGTAGGACATTGAAAATACAAAAGTATTTCAGACCTACCCACTTAACCTTTTTTACTCTTGTGATTTGTAGTGACTTAGGTATGCGCTTTTATAGAAAAATAGAAGAAGTCAACTAATTTTACAGTTTTATATATCAATTCAGTGAAAAGTGTATAATAAAAGTGAGTTGCAGATAATTGTGTCAGATTACAGGTATGTATAAATAGTAGTATTCTACAAGTTTGTTATATTTTTCTGTGTTAACAGGTCGTTGGTAATCTCAACTTAAGTTATAATTAAATATAATAGCAATCACAAATTGAAAATTCGACATAATCCGTTATAAATACCGGTGTACTACATATAGGACAGTAAGCTAGTACAAGTGTTTAGTAGGATAGTACAACCTTTTCTTTACAGGCCTAAACCTATTAGGTACGGGCTCAAATCTTGGGTTGATGCTACTAGGTTAGGGTATGTATTGTGGATGGAGATATATCGAGTGGCTACAACTATGCATGTGCAATTCAATATATAACTATCCTGAGTGCAAAAAGATGGGCCAAGCCGACGCTCCGAGCATGAAAATGCTGATAGCCAAAAAGACAAAATCAGTCACCTGGTTATTCCTCAATCCAAGCAAACACGCTGCCCTCAATTTCATAAAAAATGTTTGACACGCTGTAAAAATGTGATGATGGAGAGTATGTCACACAACACACAAACACTCACGCCTGTCACCCAGAGGGGTAGGCAGAGACTATGGACTTCCATTTGGCGCGATCCTGACACACCTCTCTCGCCTCCTTTACATCCATATATCTACGCATACACGCTCGTCGGTTAAGGGTACTCCTAATCTGGCCCATTTTCAATGTATCGCCGATTTGGTCGATAAATATTCATCTAGGGCGTCCCTTCCCGACCCTGCCGTTCACTTCTGAAACATAAATTTGCATTGTCACTCTTTCGTGGTTCATTCTTTCTACATGAACAAACCGCCGAAGCATTCCTTTTTTAATCCTGGTCACAACGTCATCTTGCAAACCACACTTTTCTCTTATCACACTATTTCTCACCCTGTCATTCAGATTCAGCCCTAGTAAACTCCTTAATGACCGCATTTCTACAGCATTTATTCTACTCTCGTGCTTATTCTGCCAGATTCAACTTTTACTAACAAGTAGGGACTAACACAGCATTATGAATTGCTATACGTGCCTTCTTTGACACATTTTGACACTTCATAATAGCGCGTAGAGCCCCATTAACTCTATTTCCTGCGTTCACTCGTTCACAAATATACAAACTTATCAACTTGCTCAATCAACTCCCCTTCTATTCTTATTTCACATAACACTTTCACATAACACACTTCTCTTTCAAAAACCATCACTTTCGTCTTACTTGCGTTCACTTTCACACCCCTTTCTTTTAATGACTAGTTTATTAAAGTAAACATCATTTGCAACTCGGCCGCCGACGATGCAAATATGAGTGTATGTCAAGTGTTTTGAAACATATCATTCATAAATAATAATGTTCCTAATCGATAGTTACCTAGTAAAACACATTTTTAAACTTTTGTAACCATTTCTTGATTCCTTTTACGATATAAATATGATATGCTACTTTGTCATGTGATCTTTTATTTCCCGTTATTATCCTACTGTCCTACATGTAAGACGGTTGTTTCCCTGAAAGCCTTACAGACAATATTTTTTCAGCATTTTTTTAACCAAATAATATTCATATTTTCAGTTTTCAGAAAATAATAGTTTCAAGCTTATCTGAAAAAGATGGGAAAATAACATGTAACAATTTTTATTGAACTTTTTAATTTTACTTTTTAACTCGAGATTTACTGAAAGTACTTTTTAAATAAAATGAATTAAAACTATTTCAAGATTTTTAAACGGATTATTTTACGGGGGGAATGGAGGAGCAATGGTGTCGATTATTTCAAGGTATTCAAATTTGTATGGAAAAATATTAATTGCAATATTTTTTAAATTTGAATTAAAATCAATAAACCGACATTAAACTAAGTACACCATTTTATATTTAACGAGGAAACGAGGAAACAGTGGTAGAGCCACGCGGCAGCTTTTGCTGTCGCACGGATGGGCCGGCTCGAACCGGGGTGGTACCACGACCTCACAGAATACCAGCGTGAAGTAGAGGTTTAACTCTGCGTTTCGTTTGGTGAGTGCAGGTGGACGGAGGCCCTTTTTACTGGAAATGAGGCATTCCATCTTAGTCCTCACGGGTGACAACGCATCTGCATTTTGATTCACAAACGAGGATAAATGTAGATGTCTATGAGCCGCAGCAACCACTTACCATCAGGTGGACTGTGTGCTCGTTTGTCACCCTTATCCTATAAAAAAAAAGAGGATCTTAGCTAATTTAATTAATATCTTTAATATAATGTATTTCCGCAAAGTAACGCCTTATTCTATTAATTTAATTTAATTATTATGTCACTATGGTAAAGGAAAAATAACTTTTTTGGCTAAGTTTAAGAACGATCGGCAGTCACAGGGCAGTTATCATTTTCATAATTGTTATTTATCTACTAGTAATGTATTTAAGAATAAGAATAACATAATTTATATTAAAGTGATAGTAGTACATGGGTTTGACATTACATTGTTTGTACTATCTATAAAATGTGTACTTAAATCTAGTGGATGTAGCTCTGCCTAACTAGGTTACAGAATGAACTGTGTTAAGGAGTAACAGTCTGAATCCCCATAACATTATGTATATAATAATTACATGCATACAGTTAAAAGTGCTACAATTATATCAATTTCTAGTTATTCAAATTATAATTATAAAGTTGAGAAATGAATACGTGTGTATCTGTGTGCGTGTGTTTGTGTGTGTGTGTGTGTGTGTGTGTGTGTGTGTGTGTGTGTGTGTGTGCGTGCGCGCGCGTGTTTGATTGCTTGTTGATGTGTGTGTTTGTGTGAGAGAGTAGATAAATCAGGTTAGTTATTTTATAATCAGTCAGCTATACTACGCGTCACGTAAAAAGAACGCTGGCGGTCAAGCTGCGCATAGGCGATTTATCGGTCTACTTGGTCATTTCGATTTTCGATTTCAAAGAATTGAATATCTGAGAAAGATTAAAAAATATAGAGAGGAAGTAAGACCTATCATTTACACTGACGAATCATACGTCGATAGTTCCCATGCGTCTCACCATGCTTGGACAGACGGTTCCACCAAGGGCATTAAAAAACCTGTACCTAAAGGTAGCCGCTTAGTCATAGTGCATGCGGGTGGCGATGCAGGTTTTGTGCCGAATGCTTTACTGACGTTTAAAGCCGGTACAAAAAGCGGCGACTACCATGACAATATGAATTCTGAAAATTACGAGCGGTGGCTCCGTACTCAACTGATACCAAATTTACCGCCCAATTCAGTCGTAGAAGTCGATAATGCATCGTACCACAATAAACAACTCGATGCTGCACCAACGTCCAATTTAAAGAAAGCAGACATGCAAACCTGGCTTCGTCAAAAAGGTATTGAATTTGAAGAGACCATGCTAAAGCCGGAGTTGTACAACTTAATAAAAAAATGCAAAGATAAATTTAAGAAATTTAATATCGATGCTATTTTGAACGAAGCAGGACATTCTGTACTTCGTTTGCCCCCATATCACCCGGACCTGAATCCTATTGAAATGGCCTGGTCCCAAATAAAAAGTTATGTTGCCTGTAAAAATGTAACTTGGAACCTGACATGTATAATTGAGTTGATTCATGAAAAAGTAAATTTAATGGGAGCAACAGAATGGGGGAAGCTATGCACGAAGGTAAAAGAAATAGAGGCTGATTACTGTAAAAGCGATCATGTGGTGGACATGATGACAGAAACATTTGCTATCCACATAGGGGATCATGATTCCGACTCAGATGAGGATGGAAGCTCGAGTGACGATGAAATGGCCACTTCTAGCACCAACACCGCGTCCTCATCTGGTTTTCACGTCACGCATGATGACTTAATGGAAGGAGTTTCAACATTACTTTAATTTTATTTCGATTAAACATTCTATAATACATAATTCAAACATGTTTTTAATTCATTTTATTTATATTTTATCTAATATATTTTTCAATGTTATAACTAATAAGAATAACAAATATATAGGTACGAAGCAACGACCCGCGAGCGAAAGTCTAGTTAAAAAATAAATTAATAGGCACATAACTTTCGTGCGAGACTGTACCCATGCGCAAACACACTCCCACCACTTTCTTCCAGCGTTCTTTTTACGTGACGCGTGTTATACTGTTGTTCTATTTCGTCATAAGATGTATTTTGAAGGTATGAGCGGACAGTCTTCTTGCAGTTATATAATGATAACCCATATATAGGACGTTTTTCGCTTATTTTATTGTAACGAGACGGACCTAGGAAATAAAAGAATCTTTTAGTGAATGATAAGCGAACTTGTGAAAGAGAACAAATTTTGTCTTTTCGACGTTTACTTATTTCCCTGTAAGGGGTTTTGCGGTGCTGCATTAGAACTGTTTGCAGAATAAAATGTTGCAGAACATTAAGGACGTTCCAGTCATTGTACAACTTTCAAAATGGCTCTGTGTGTCACCTCAAGCTTCTTTAGGTTAGTTTTAGTAGCGCCACCCCAGCAGGAAATACAGTATGTAATAATGGATAAGCATAGGGCAAAATAAACTTTACGTATAACAGTAGGGTTAGCAATACTTTTTGGGGTTTTAAATATGTAAATTAATTTACAGACTCTACCAGTGAGAAGATTAATGTGGCTTTTAAAATTTAGGTTTTTATCTAAGATTATACCTAGGTATTTAATATGGTCAACAGAGGATATGGTTGGACATTGACAAGAAACCTGAGTATGTCTGTGGCAAGAGTGGGCTTTAAGGGATATTGGTAAATTTGGTTGGGAGACAACTAATAGAATAGGTAAAAAATTTAGTTTTGGAGGCTAATTTAGTAAGGGTTAGCGTGTGGGAATAAAGCCAATTTGTTATAAGGTCGAAGCCAATTTGAGCCCTGTGCTCAAGTACAGACCATGTTTCGGTGACGAATGTTGTACACGCCTTGAGCTGCCCCAACCAAGGTAGACTGGACCAGGGCCCATGAGTAGCCCAATCGACTGGCAGCAGAGGACGGGGCTCAAAATGCCTATGGACAATTGACCTGCACAACAGTGATAGGCTAGGTAAATAAATGAGACGTACCTGGTTCTAAAGCGAAGACTGTCCCAAGGCTCGGTCAGGCCGTAGGTAGGTGTAGGTGCATGTAAAGTGATGTTTAGTGGTGTGTATAATGGTTGACCTGACTGGACCGTTGAAGTCTGCAGCAACCCTGACTCCGGCACCACATCACGGTGTGGTATTCTCCAGCGGCATCACCTCGATGCCACTCAAAGTCTAGCGTCCCTTAGCACAAATCTATAATCTAATACGAACGCGGTGTCTCGCGGGTCACAAAGTTTAGCATTTTTAACCGACACAGGAAAATATCTCCGAGTTAAATCAAATGGCACAACACAACTCGTCGACGCAAATTAATATTGTCACAATGATTCTCTCGATGCGTCTCGATCGAAAACGCCGGCCATTGGAATGCCGCCGGAGAGGGGTAGGCGGTGACCTTCGTACTGTGCTATGCACGCCGAGTCGTGACGTACGAATTCAGTGTTCAAAAGGTTAATATTTTGCCTAAAGAAATGTTATTGCAGTATCATCTGCAAATGATATAATCATAGCATTTGGAATATTAAGGTTGCACAGATCGTTGAAAAACCCTAAGAATAGTGTGGAACCTAATATACTTTCTTGTGGTACGCCGTAATAGACTGAGAGGTTATCACTATTGTGATCATCAATTCTGACAGTCTGGGATCGATTTGTGAAGTAACTTTGAAAGAAATCTAGTTGCAACCCCCTGACACCTACCTTTTCTAATTTGAGTAAGAGAGTTGAGACAGAAACGGTGTCAAACGCTTTCGCGAGATCCAAAAATATAGTTAAGACCTTTTGGTCTTGATCCAAGTTCTGAACGACATGATCGGTTAAACTTTAAACTGCATCGTTACTCGATTTATTCTTGCGAAAGCCAAACTGCTGTGAAGAAATTAAATTATAATGTTCGAGGTAGGAAACTATTCTTTTATTAATCATTCTTTCGAGAACCTTTGAAAGAGTAGTGAGAACCGCTATGGGATGGTAATTATTCGGTACGTTCCCGTCACCTCCCTTGAAGACTGGATGAATAATTGCCTTTTTTAGTGACGTGGGAAAGACAGCAGTGTCGAAACAAAGATTAAATATATGGCATAAGATCGGTGCCAGAGTAGTTGAGTATTTCTTAAGGAATCAATTCAGAACCTGGACGAATGCAAAGTGATTGTTTCTCCCGCAGATAATTATTGAACAAATGATAATTGAGCGATGACCTGCTTACAGCTCTGCAGCTTTAGGACGTAGCTGCTTTATATAGGTATAGCTACTATATGCTGGAATTACATTCTTCCGCCTTTACGTAAGTCTAATTCGAAGTTTAATTTGAAATCACGCTATAGAAATTATTTATTACACTCACTAAAAGCTCAAACGTGAGCCTTCAGAAGATATGTTTCTTCTAGCATCGTTGAGCATTATAATGTTGTGTGTTTACGTTTATTTTTATATATTTTTGAACTATTTTATTTTTATATAGAATGAATTCATATAATATTTTTTGTTTGTATACCTGTACCTATAAATATATATTTATGAGCCACCGAAATATTTTAATTTATAAAGTAATTATAAAACATATTTCATAAACACAACCAGGCGGATCTTTGGTTATGGCAGAATCATTTTTAATTAAAACTAATTTTACGGATTTTATCGCGTATATTAATCTATTTTTATATTCCGATATCTAAATGGTGAATCTCACCATCATCCTTCACAGTTAGCTACCGTGGGAAAATCTTAGTTTCAGAGAGCACGAGGGATCTGTGACAGAAAACATCTGGCCGCCGAGCTTCAGCACGTCGAGCAAGTACTGCAAGACAACAAGCTTCGGGTCCCGCGCCTACGTCACAGTGACCGAATGAAGCCAGCCACAGTCGAGCGTGTGCCTGCTGTACTACCCTATGTCAGAGGAGTCACAGACAAGGTTGGCTACATCTTGAAGCGAGCTTCCATTAAAACATACTTCAAGCCGCTGAAGAAGATTGGTCAATTTTTACCATCCGTCAAGTGTCATATCCCTCTACAAGATGCAGGAGTGTACAAGCTGGATTGTGAATGTGGCCTCTCGTACATAGGACAAACAAAAAGATCTATTAAAACCCGCGTTAAAGAACATATAGCTGACGTGAAGCACCGACGTATCGGGAAGTCTGCAGTTTGTGAACGTGTTCAAGATCGTCCCCGCCATTACATTAGATTTGATAGACCACAAATCCTCGCAAAAGAACACCGATTCCTCCCAAGGATGATTCGCGAGGCTATTGAAATTAAAAAAAACATCCTAATTTCAATAGAGAAGATGGATGGGTGCTGCCATCTGCTTGGGATCCCATAATTAATAAAATCAAATCCAAACCCAAGTATACCACTGCTAGACTTCAAGATACCGTAAGCTCATTCTGCGTAAATCGGACCAAAAATTAATATTAAAAAACTGAAGGTAGCCGGGCTAACTATGACAGCAGGACGTCAAACACCTCAGTCCCCGTGACCACGGGTGCTGGAAAGCACCCGAAACGTCGGGAATATAAAAATAGATTAATATACGCGATAAAATCCGTAAAATTAGTTTTAATTAAAAATGTGTGGTGTTCGCGTAAATATAAGAAATCATTATGGCAGAATCATCAGCGCTATAGGTTACCCTGCAGCATTACGCTGAGTCATAACCTTTTCACTGGCCCGATATTTACCCCATCACTTGTAGTCTTAATCTGCCATACGTTTAGCTGTCTTTTTTATTTATGTGATGTGTATAATTTCAGTGACTTAATATCTTTCTTTGTCTGGGGGATTCGGATGGTAAAACAATGACTCCAAGTAAAAGTTTTGCAATGGTTGGCAAATGCGGGACATAAACACGACAATTGACGTACTAAAACGACTTTAGGTCAGGTGTCCGTGAAATATTTATGGGGTTTACAATGCATTTTTTATTTCCACTTTTATGTAAGCATGTTTGAATTTCAGAGAGAATGCGTTAAATACATGAGTAAACATCAAACGATTTTCACAATATATTTTTTACTAATACTCAGAGTCGTATGAAGAACAGTTGCTCGCTAGGGAAATCTACACAAAGGATATACGAGTATTTGAAATATTCTCTTCAGCTCAGGCTAAGAAAACATTAACAACATACATTATTAATCACAACACACATACAAAACTTATGATCCGGTTTAGGTCAGATATTAAAATAAAAACTTCGTTTAGTTTTTTTTTAATGATACAATGAAAAACATAATCCTTTTTTTATAATAATGATGAGTTAAGTATGTGTTTTTATATTTAAAATATTCAGTAATCGTTAAATTATTATAATAAAGACAGACTCTAGTATGATAAAAACAATATATGGGATGCAGTGCCAGTGACAGTTACACATGTTGATATTAACGTAAGGACTGCCTCTTTGGACTAGTGGTTGTAAACGCAGCCTTCGATCGTGAGGTCCCGGGTTAAAATCCCCAAAAAAAAAATCAGTTACTAAGCACGGATTTTATTTTATTATTTACAAGCTATAGGTTGCACTAACCAAAAACAATCTAAAAATTTTTCAATGGCATTTTTATTTAGCTATAACTGGTACGTGCACGATGCACACTTGCACATAGAAGACGACACAGAAAAAAGCTTAAAAATATTTATTACAAGTTACGCGTTTTGATATTGAAGTGACAAATCGATGCATGTATAAGAGTATCATTAGAATCGCAAGTTTATGATAACAATATCACCGGTTTCCTTGCTTGTCGATTTTTTCTTTCTTCTCTACGTACTTTTAAATTAAATA